GTGTGTGTGTGTGTCCCAGCTCTGAAATCAAAATTTCGTCCTTGCATAATTGTATGAACAGAAAAAAATTGCTCAAAATTCATCCAAATCACTTGTTTTATACAAACTTCTTGCAGTTACTGAGCTCACTGTTTTGGTTCATTGTACAGTTTTAAATGTAATGTGAAATATGTATAAAGTATATCAGTCAGTCAGTTTACTCAATGATTAAAGGGGAACCAGTGGACCAAGACAGCCACTGTAAACTCATACAAACGCATTCACATAAAAACATTCAGAATCTTAAAGAAACTCATTTTGCTATACACAGGAAACCTCAATTATTGAATTCTGTTTTTTATAGTTTAATGTTTATAAGTGTATGTACGTAGAAAGCTTCAAAAGTAAATCCACTCTATCTCTCCTGTACATGTTTACATAATTTAAAGTGAAACTGTTCTTCCATTTGATTGAATTCTGATTTTTAGTGTGCATGTGACCATATTTAAATATTGGACGGAATGGGTTTTCCAGTGTGTGTTTGATTCTAATTGTTACACTTTGTTGTGGAGTCGATATATGTACAAAGAAGCTCACCGCTTGTCCCTGATGAGGACACAAAGAAAGAACCTGAGAAACTGTGTTTGACAGACACTGACTGGCAGAGTAGTTCACTGGAAACATGTAAAGCCATTTAACAAGAACAATTCTTTCGTCTGGTACTCTGGCCAGCTCACAGAATACACAGACTGATAATCTCCATGTAATGTAATGAGAAGCCTGATGTCTTGTTCAGGTCTAATAAATGCAGCTGAAATACAGCACTGTGTTGAACTTTTATTTGAACAAAGGTTGACTCTTCCTTAAATAATATATATTGTATATGGAAATACGGTAAAAGCAGTTCAGATTATTAAAAGGATTATTGGTCACTGTAATCATCCTCCTAGCAGGACTCCTAGGGCTGTAATAGGTTGAAGAGTGATGACGTCCGATAATACGGCAGACATTTGAAGCTTTGTTCAGAAACTGTTGACGATGGCTTTGTGCTGTCCTCGGAAGTTCAGGAAACAATTACTAACAAAGTATTTGTAGACTGCTGGAGCCTCGTAATGGCTTCAGCAGTCTACAAATACTAAGGGCTGCACAATTAATCGCAATATTATCAAAATAGCAACATGACCCAGAGCAATATGCACATCACAGAAGCTAAAATGTTATGATAAAGGTAAAATGTGAGACAAACAGCATTATAATGAAGCACTGTAGTGCTGCAGAGAGGCCTTGGTCTACAAATCTTGCTCTACAGAAGTAAGAAAACACGTTGGTTTGGTACAGACCCCAAATAATTTCACATCATCATGATTAAAATAGTTTTTTTAGTGAAAATGAATTTGTGATGCAAAAATAATCATTCCCACCAATCGCAATACTTGTAAAAATGATCGCAGTGTGATGTTTGTACCGTATGGTGCAGCCCTATTTGGTTCAGAGCAGCAGATTGTCTTCCGTGTTGCTTACGTTTAAGTGGCACAACAGGGGAATTCCAGTGATCAGTCTGTCACCATACATATGGCATGCAAGTGTTATATATAGATACCCTTTAAAGGCCAAACCTGCTGATATTTTAGATTCCTGTGAAAAGACCAAAAAGTAATGTAAAGTTGGTGCCTCAATAAATGGGTCATGAACATGTACTTCCTTTGTTTGAAAAGCCTGACAATGTCGTTCTTAGCAGTAAAAAGCTGTACAGAAACTTGGTCGCATTATTGAGGAGCAGTTGAAAAGGGAAAGTTCTCTGTTGTTGCATCATCTAAAAGTCACCCGTGATCCATCCATTTTGAACACATCTTCAGAACTACAGTGTGAACATAGTCCAGGTGTGTTTCATCCATTGACTATCTTCTGAGAAATGGCTCCGGGCAGTGTGTAGAACAGCAGGGCGAGGAACAGCACCGTGATGAGCAGGACCAGGGCGATGATGATGTACTTCTTGTAGCTTCGCCACACCAAGTGGAAGAAACACTTGAAAGGGTTGACAAACCACGAGAAGGAGGTGTCTGGACGGCTGGGGGAGGGGAGAAAAGAGAATAAAGTGGATTTATTCTGTTGTATTTAGCAGCATTGGTAATTTTCACATTATTATTATTATTAATCATTTTTATTTTGTTTTACAATTAGCTTGAAGGGAGCTATAATGTGAATTTCATTACACACTGCATTGTAAATGACAATAAAATAACAGTGAATCCTTGAATTAGGATTGTTGTTGATGGTCACTAAATAGTTCCTACGTGTCAACTAACTCATTAAACCTCAATGTCTTAATTTCCATTTGTTAAATGCACAGTGTGCAAAAAAGATAGTTTGTGGAAAACACCTCCAACAGAGCTGGACCCGCTATTTCCCCCCTGCTTCCTGCTTAAAGCTTTATGCTAAGCTAGGCTAAATAAGTCCAGGGTACTTCCCTTTATATTCAAAGTAATTGTTTGACATTTTGCTGAATGCGCTTATCTGCTGATGAGAAGATAGATTCACTCTCATGTCTGTACTGTAAATGTATGGCTACATAAGGTTACAACCAGCAGCGGACTTAGCTTAGCATAAAGACTGCAAACAGCCGGCATGGTTTTGTCCATAGGGAAGAAAAAAAAAAACCAAAACCAAAAACTGTGTACAGGGAGAGCCGTCAGTCCTGCTATTGATTTCGAATTTGATCCATTTTTGATATAAAATGGAAATTATGACTCCTTAGTTTACACGGGGGACTTGCTTGGCTGTTAGCAGTAACATCTTGAAGTCACTGTATCTGGCCAAGAAATAGTCTGATGCTTTTCAAAAGCATGCTTTTATGCTTTTATGTTTTTTTGTTCGCATTAAACAAATGAGACATACAGAGTTAATTAGTGAGGATGTAACATTCCCTTAACATACAGAGGTGATATTGCTCTTTTCATCTAACTGCTAAAAATACAAAGAGACAATTTACCAAATGTATCACAGTTCATTTAGATACCCAAAGTCAAAGTGGCATCACAAACACTACAAAATCCACTCTGGTCTTGCTGTCTCAAGGCCAAACGACAAAAGAAACACTGCAGCGTGCGCTACTTCCTGCCCCCAGTACACTAGTGCCGACTAGCTGATCTACAGCAGGTATTTACTTCAGGAATCGAACACCGTGAGGTTCACACCATGGATGGAACGCTCGCCCTCACAGAGAGAATACCGCCACACTCTTACTTTGGTTTCGGCAGTGGCTCTGGCTCCTTGCGGGCTCGGCCTACAGGATTTTTCTCTGCCTCCTCAGCTGTCACAAGATGGAACTCTGCCTCCACTTTCCCCTGATGGATTGAGAACCCACCACACACACACACACACCTGTCAGTCCAAGTCTCAATGAGTGTTTGTCAGTCTGTAGGGCTCGGCCCACGAACGTACCGTCAGCTCTCCAGACTTGCTGAAGGGCCACCAGCCCCTCGATCTCTTCTGCTGGAAAATAGAGATTCTCTCCGTCCCGTCCGTCAACATGTCCACCTTACATGACTTTGCCGTCTTTGCCCCCCGAGGGAAACCGTGGAGATCTAACTCCACTGTGCCTACACACACACACACACA